GCTCCTCCACTTACGTCGGAGGTCCATTCCTACAGTGCGACCTAACTCGATTTTTCCCATAAGTCAAAACTCACATACCACAACACCTACAGGGTCACTCTCCTATGCTAACACAGTGGTAGCATCATAATCTATGACCTAAAAACATCAGTTTCCAAAAAAAACCAACACAAATGAAAGTAAGAAAATGTAGAACAATCCAATGTATGGAGCAAACTGGCCAATGTAAACAAAGCTGATCTAATCCACTCACAAACTGATTCCCCTTCGCCGTTCGTCAGAATGATGCAACAAGAATATCTCAATGAATTTATGGGACATGGTAACGTAACCACGAGACGCCGTAGATCAAAGACATCATAAACCGAGGAGCCTGTGGACATCACACCACTTCAGTGTCATTTAAGACTTGTGCAGGTGGCAGGTCATGTTACAGTGGTAGGTGTGCGGACTGAACAGGAATGGAAACAAGAAAGTCTCCTGTTGTGCTCCTACGAACTGACAACCTTCATGATGCGTCAGAGCAACCAGTCAGTGAGTTGAACTAGCATGGTTTGGTCGCCTATAGCTCTGGCATCCCTGTTTGTATGTCTTAGAATCAGGTGACATAGGTGATGTAAAATACCAGGCAGCTGGGCAGCGCAGGACTTTAGGCTGCATGGGCTGACGCCATCGGGGTCTGCAGACCGCGCTCCTAAAGCTCTTTCAGCTGTTTTCTAACCTGGTCATCTGTCACAGTCGTGATAGGGGGCAGTTAATTCCCCATAGGACGTTGGTGCAGTTGGGTTGTCATCAGCAGACCACCTGATGTGGGGGGCCTGTGGGGTGATTGAGTCATGTGAAGACAGGTCCAGTGTTATTAGGCCCATCCTTCAGGTTCTGCAGTAGACGTTAGTCGTATCCTCAGTGTCAGAACTAACACAGCAGTCCACATTTGTGAGCATCATTGTTAACCTGAATAAAAGGCCACAGCAGTGTTTAAATGTAGAAAAATGTTTTAACATAATGTACTATTTTCCACACTCTAATAAAAATACTTCAGTCTTTTGCCACAGGCGTCATAATTCAGATGGTTAAGGCTTGAAACTCTCGAAACGATTCTTGCTGTAATCGTTTTACACACACACACGCAGAAAAAAAAACATTTCGACATGGGTGTGAACACTTTTTATATAAGTGTGCGTGAAGGTAATTCAGTGCTTCACACGTGCGCACTAAACCAAATGTGAACATGAGTTAGTCGGGCCACATTAGGGTCTAAATGATTTTGAAGAACACTTGGGATGTAAGAAGAGCCCCAGCTCAAAGGAGTCAGCTGTTGCACGGAGCTGCTCTTGAGCAGTGCAGAGAGATGTGCCCCAAGACCACGCTGGCCTTCCGTACTTTCATTGTGTGTCTCTGCGAGTGTTTACGTGCCGAAGTATGTGGACTTATTTAAAGCCAGTGGCTCCGGGGACTTCAGGCTTCATCTCCTCCTCATGTGTTATCAGCATGCCAGCATTTCAAATGCTGCACCAAGTGACACAGTACATAAAGCAGCCTTTGCCTCTGAAGAGCCCCTCATCCCAGAATAGCTGTGGCTCTCGCTATCTAACTGATGCCTAAGAAAGTTTAAGCCATCACGGCAACACCTCTTAGTCTGCCACATGAACAGATAGTGGTGTCAACAAAGATGGCTGCTCATTTAGTTCCCGTGTTCACCCGTTCTGTGTGTGAGCTCCAAAGAAATAATTCAGAACTCAGACGGCAGCAAATCCTCATCACAATCATGTAACTCTATGGCAGACGCTTTTCTTATTTTAGACTGAAACATTTTGCTGTAAGATAGAAAATAAGTCACTTCATAACTTCTTATACATTTGCCTACTTTTGTATATTTGTATATTTTTATTTATCATTTATTTAGTCAATTTTAAACTACTAATTCTTGTTCTTTTTATTATTAATTATCTTGTGTCTTGTGTTTCATTTTGTCTTTTTTACCTCATCATTTGTGCAACATTTCAATATTTAATTGTTTTCTTATTACATCTTTTAGTAAAGGTTTTGCTAAAGTATTGACTTTTTTTTAGTTTTGCTTTATATCTGAGATTTAAAAAGTTAAAGTTCCTAAATTTGAATAATTCTTTTACCATTATCACAAACCTATACTCTAAATTGAGTCTAAATTTGAATAGTTCTTTTACCATTATCACAAACCTATACCATCCATCCAACATCCATTTGTTCTGTAGCTTCTAATCGTGGTGAGGGGCTTTAGATCTTTGAGCTACCCCAGGGTACACCCCATCTATAACATATTTTTGTCTTCTTTTTCCTCATAAACAAAGGTGTGAAGTATAATAAAATAACCTTGGTCAAACGTAGGTTTTTAAACATTTTATATTCACCTTTCTTTGCAATCAACTCAAATATACTCATTTTTTAAATTATGACTACCTAATGTTTAGCCGTTTCTGAGCTTATTTAAATTTACAACTTTCAGAGTTTGGCTAAATGTTTTTGTGCTTTATATTTCACAAATCTTTTATTAATTTACTGTGAAGACAACACAATACGTTTTTAAAGCTTTAAGGAGTTTCAGCTATCCTAGTGCTAGTTTACCTTTGCCAATGTAGCTTTTTCTGTGCTATTTTAATACTACAATATGAGACTTGTTTTGTTGTATTTATTTCTTATTTATTTAATAATTATTAATTTAATAATTTGGCGTTAAGTTATTGCCTTGTTTGTTACTATGTAAAAATAGTACTGGTGATGTTTTAGTTTATTTTACACAAACTGTAGGATATCGATTTTTTTTTACATATTCTGATGTGTTTTTCTTTTCCACGTTTGTCATATAAATGATATATATGTGTCATACACCACTTATCCTTGTCTCATTTACAAGCAATTGCATCCTTTGTTTCTTTGTGCAAATTCTGGACCTTAGACAAAGCTAAACGTCCATTCAGATCATCTCTATATCACTCTACAACATTCAAAGCTGTGTGGTCAGCCTGTTCCTGCAAGACACACTTTGGGAGGTGCCCAGGCCGGGTCATAGCTCATCGTTATTTTCCCGGTCAGAGCCGCAAGCCATGTTTCTAGCTATTAATAATGCGCTGTGTATTTATAGAGTCTAGTTTAATGCCGCACAGCTCCTGAAATAATCTGTTCTAAGGTTGCATCCACTGTGGCCAAACACAATAGCAAACATCCCGGTTGGCACTTAACACTAAGGCTGCATGGCTTTAGAAGCCAACATCAGCTCATGACCATTACAGTCAGTTGACATGGAAAATCTACACTTGTCACTGTAAAGCTTCATTCAAACGGGTAGCATAAACTTAGAATCAATGTAATGTTCCATTCTTACGAAAGGAAGGTGCATTCTAGGTATTTTCAGTTTAAAGCTGCAGATGTTTTTCCTTTCAAAAATAAAATGCCAATCGAAAATGTCTAATTTGGTGATGCATTTGAACTCAGACACAAGGACACAAAAAGACCTTCATTGTTTCCACTGAAAAAAAAACCTTATGTTAATTAGACTTTGAGTAAAAACATTTGGAAATTGATATTGACAATACAATGCAGGCTTAGCATTGCTTTATCCTACTCCTTTCCAAACAAGAAAACACTGCAATATTTTAATATATGAATATTGTAATGTTTGCTTGGTTTCTGTTTGAAATAAAGACCGTATTTATAACTCCTAGCAGTTAGCATGCTAACTTTACTTGGTTACCTGTTTGATCAGTTTTACTTTCTTTCTTTCCTCAAATTTTTAGTGATGTAGTAAGAAACAAGTAAAATACCTTGATAAATAAGAGCCACTTAAAAAGTAATTTCCAAAGTATACAGAAGTGAAAAAGAAAACAGAAACAAATGAATCGGGTGGTTAAATATACAGAAACAAAAAATGAAGAATTTAGAAAGTAAAGAAGACAAAGCTTAGAGCATGAGGTTTGTAGACGTAAAGAAGCTTAGAGCATGAGGTTTGTTAAGAACATTACTAAGTTATCTTAAAGCTGCTTAACGATAGCTTGAAAACAACAACTGGACGTTAGCATAGAGTGAAACAGAAAAACCTAGACACTAGTTTTTAGTTTTTAGCTATCGTCTTGATTTAGATATTTCTGGCTAACTAACAGCAATTCCCCGCCTCCCTTTGGGATGATTTGTTCAGCTATTTCCGGGATAACCTAATTATCCATCTTTCGTAACTTCTTTAGCCATTTGCATATCCTTGGTTGACTTTTTCTAAATCTTTTAAAGAGTGTTGTTGCTTTTACATTTTTATTTCCCAGTGATGCGAACTCTAAGTTGTTTCTGGTATGTTATCTATTTTTATTCTGAATTATCCTGACTTATTATCAGTTGTCTACAGCAGGTTGACTCTTATTTATCATCTTCTACGTTCTCATTGTTCGCTGCTTGAAGTTATACGCCATCCGCACCAGTGGTCCTCTGTGCATCCCCCACTCCCTCTGTCTGTGTGTGTGTGTGTGTGTGTGTGTGTGTGTGTACAGTGCATACAAAAATAGCCGGGCTTGGGTTCAGTGCAATGACAAAAACGTAGCGTTTCCTTTTGTGTCAATTGAGACAGACGCTCGGCACCAATAGGCGTCTGAGGTGGTGGCTTATGTTAATGAGGGACAAATGTCCACCGACCGTGACCTTGAGGAACACGCTATAAATCCACCTCCTCTTCACAGCACGCTGTCATTTGGTAGCAGGCGCTCCTGAGGTCAGTGTTCAACTTTGCGCCTGTGTTTAGTAACGCGAGTCGTAGCGCGGGACACCACGCTTCATCCTCAGCAGCGCAGCCCGGTGTTTACCGCCACTGACTGCTGTGAGTCACTGTGGGCTTTCCTTCTGACTTTGGTTATGGTTGGCTGTTAGTTTTTAACCAGTCCGCCTCTGTTTTAACTTGACCAGAACTGTCACAGTTCACTAACTACAGCGTCACGGCGAGA